GGTTTTTTCTGGCATCTCTGTGTTGGCCTTCTTGGCACCTGCCTTGTTTTGCGCACAACAGTGTGAACAGGACAGGGCCGGCCCTGCTACTGGGCTTGACGTTTGGCCCCCAGCGCCTCAGTTGTCAGAAATGCACTTGCATGCTGTGGCGGCGTCCCACATAAAAGGATGAGAAGGACTTACAACTAGAATATACAACGATGCACTGGAGCTTTGGGGAGAAAAAAAAAGAGGAAGATTGGCAACGGATGTTAGTTCAGGGCCAATCTTCCTCACCAAAAAAAAAAAAAAAAAAAAAAGACTAGTACTTGCCTTATCTCAGGAGGTCTCCCCCTCAGCACTGTGGAGCCGGACCATTCTCTGTGGGGGGCCATCCTGGGTGCTGTGGGGTGTTGAGCAGCATCCCTGGCCCCCCACTCACTCAGTGCCAGGAGCGTGCCCCGCCTCTCCCAAGTTGTGACAACCACAAGTGTCTGGGACATCCGCAAGTGCCCCTTCGGGGACAGAATTGCCCCAGGTGAGAACCACGGCGTTAGCTGGTCACATCCCAAACTCTTGTTTTCTTACCTCTGACTCAGTGAGTCCCTGAGGTCCCCGAATGGGCCCGTTCCTTTCAGCGTCACCACGAGCCAGTTGCTGTCCTGAGCGCTTGGTGGATGTCAGCTCCATCCTCATCTCAACCATCCGGGGTGGGTGCTACTCGTGTGCCCATCTTCTAGATGGGGAAACTGAGGCAGGGAGAAATCAAGTAATCGGCTCAAAGTCTCCCAGCCAGTCAGTGGTGGAACTGGACTCAGACCCTGGGGTGCCGGCCCCAGAAACCTAGAGGGCCCAGAGGGCGGGTGTGGGTGCTCGTCCTTCGGCATGCACCCCGACTTGCTGGGGAGCTTGTCTGGCCCCGCTTGCCCTCTCTGGCCCTTCATTGGTCCATCCACAAAACGGGGTGTATCAGTCGGCCGTTGCCGTGTTAACATGTTGGCACTAACTTGGTGGTTTTAAGCTGATTTTCTCCCCATATCTTGTTAAGTCCGTTTCGATGTCACGAGGCAACTGGATTTGTCACAGCATCCATACTACTCTTGTGTCTGTTCCGGTTCTGAGAGATGAGACATCACAGGCTTTTCTTTTTTTTTTTTTTCTGAGGAAGATTGGCCCTGAGCTAAAATCTGCCGCCAATCCTCCTTTTTTTTTTTTTTTTTTTTTTTTGCTGAGGAAGACTGGCCCTGAGCTCACATCCATGCCCATCTTCCTCTGCTTTCTATGTGGGACGCCTACCACAGCATGGCTTTTGCCAAGCGGTGCCATGTCCACACCCAGGATCCGAACTGGTGAACCCTGGGCCGCCGAAGCGGAACATGCAAACTCAACCGCTGTGCCACCAGGCCAGCCCCTTACGTTTTGAAAGCGTTTTAAAGCAGAGAGAAATTGTCAGCAGAGACCATCTGTGGTCTGCAAGGTCTGACCTATTCACCGTCTGACTCGTCACAGGAAACGCTGGCAGGTCCTTCTGGAAGCCACGGTCCCGTCCTGTGCGTGGGCACATCTCCAGTGGATGATGATGGCGGTTCTGGGGGGGGGCGGGTCAGGGAAGCAGGTGTCGCTGCTGGAGCGATGGGATGGGCCAGCGATGTCTGTCCCCAACTGAGACTCGGAGGCGAGAGGGGGACGTTGGCTCACCCCCAGGCCCCCTGGAGAGCAGCAATGACCCTCTATTCTTTCTCATTAGCAAGGGTGGGGCGATGTCACCTTCTCTTGGGGACCCTTGGTCTGACGGGCAGGAATTTATAAATCCGTATGACAAAGCCGCATGGGACAGCCCCCCTATGTTCTAATCCTCCCACTCCTGGGTTTATCCCCAAGTTCAGCGTGCGCAGATGTCCACACAGGGACTTGCCCCCAAATGTTCATGGCATCTTCATTCCAAAGAGCCCCAAACTGGGGGAAAACCCAAGTGCGCATCCAGAAGCCAGCAGATAAACCAATCAGGGTAGAGGTCACGCCTCGGAATATTACACAGCGAAGAACAAGGATAAGTGACTGATCGTCGCGACAACGCGGGTGAAACTCCCAGGCGTGATGTTTTGCGAGCAGAAGCCTTCTGTGGTCTGATGGCCTTTCGATGAAGTTTCAAAACGAGTGAAACTAAACCGTGACGGGAGAAATCGGCTCTGGTGAGTAATGACGGCCAAGGGGCAGGAAGTGACCTCTGTCCTCCTGGGAGCGTTGGCCACGGAGAGGGTTACGTACCCGAAAGTCCGCTGAGCTGTTTATTTAAGATTTGTTTGGTTTGGTGCCTCTGAACAATCCCACGACACAAATTAAGAAAGAGAAAGTGCGAGTGGTGGGGATGGGGGGGAGGGTGGCGGGAAATGAGCCCGTTCATTCACTTCCGGGGGGGCCGGTGAACAGGGAACACAAATTTGGAGAACAATCCAGAAGGACGTATTAAGAGCGAGACTGTATCTTCCCCACGGCCGAGGAGAAGTCAGTCCCTGCAGTTCCCCCTTCCCCAGACGCCCCAGAGAAAAGTCACCTCATCCTTTTCTCAACCCCAGGAGGCAGCTGCTGTGGTCATCTCTGTGTTGGGGGGGAAACTGAGGCACAGCTCCGCGGGCTCGTCCTCCGCCCCACCTCACAGCTGGTGAGTGTCAGAGTACGGATCTGAACCACGCCTGGTTTTGTAAATAAAGTTTTATTGGCACACGGCCGCGCCCACTTATTGACGCGTCACCTGGGGCCGCTTTCGAGCTACAACTGGCAGCGTGAGTAGTTGTGACCTAGATGATCTGGCCCGAAATGCCAACAATATTTATTCTCTGGGGATCAAAGATGACCACCACGATCTGTCTGTCGTGGGGACAGGCCCCGATTGAACGCTCCCAAAATTCCTGATGATCCGGCAGGATGCGGAGAGAGGCACGGGAAGATGGATTTAAAGGGATGCACTACTTTTTTTTTTTTTTTTTTTTGGTGAGGAAGATTGGCCCTGAACTAACATCTGTTGTCAATCTTCCTCTTTTTTTTTTCCTCCCCAAAGCCCCAGTACATAGTTGTATATCCCAGTTGTGAGTCCTTCAATGTGGGACGCCACCACATCCCACTTCTGTGCGAGGTGGCATGATGTCATTATTAACACCCAGGCTGATGAAGCAGAACTTCACCGCTGGGCCACGGGGCCCGCCCTGGGGAAGATGGATTTAATGCCCTCTCCACCGCCAGCTCGGGAGGCCCCAAAGGCAGGGCCCACTTCCCCCACTGCCCCCACCGCCACCATCTATCCCCAGAGCCTAGACACACCTGGTACACAGTAGGTACTCAATAAAATTTCTCCCTCAGTGGAGACGGACACGAAGTCAGAGGCTGTGGCGGGGAGGTGGGGTTGGGGGGCTCTTAGCATCCATCTAACTTCCATTTGCACCGCCGTCCCATGAACCTGGGTGCCAGCTTTGGCTTGGGGTCCACGCACCTCTCAGGGGCCCTAAGGATGGAATTCGGGGTGTCTGTGAACTGACGGGGGGAAAACCCCACATCTCTGTTTTCACTGACTCTGACCCATATTTGCCATTTCCTCAGTTCTGAAGGAAGGCACCGGCAGGATGTGGTCCCCCATAGAAAGCCACAGATATCTTCATATCGATGGCATGGCTGCAGGTGGCTCGAAATATGGCGGCCACTTGTCGCCACTGCAAAATCGCCGTCCTTATGGATCTCGCTGCTGAAAGTGGTGATAAATTTAAAGATTTGTCCCCAAGTGCTGTTTGTTCCCGGATCGCTCAATTTCAAAAGTATTTTTAAAGTGATTGTCTTATGAGTATTTAAATTTTTTTTTCACTGTAAAATAACATAAAACTTACCTTTTAACCGTTTTCAGTGCCCAGCTCAGTGGCATGAAGCACATTCACACGGTTGTGCCACCATCCCCTCCATCCGTCTCCAGAACTTTCCATCTCCCCAAACTGAAGCTCGGTCCCCATGAAACACTGACTCCCACCCCTCCCCCAGCCCCTGGCCCCCCATCCACTTTCTGTCTCTGTGGCTGTGGCTCCTCTGGGGACCTCCTGTGAGTGGACCACACAGTGTGTGTCCCTCTGTGTCTGGCTCACGTCCCTGAGCATCACGTCCATCCACGTTGGAGCAGGAGTCAGGATTTCCTTCCTTTTCACGGCTGCGTAATATTCCGCTGAATCCATATCCCGGATTTGTTTATCCATTCATCCAACAATGGATCCTCAAACGGTCTTTAAAAAGTCGCTTAACGAATGTATTTCGACATAAGGGATTTCCCTGGAACCTCCCGCCTCCCGTTTTCTGCGTCTAACAAATGGCATTTGGAGAAGAACTTCTGGGCGGCTCCAGGCTGACAAGGGGACCCAACATTACGATTTTCCTGGACCTTTTCCTCCATTAAAAAAAATAATAACAAAAATGACATTTTATGACTTCCTTGGTATAAAGACGAACATAATGCAGGCTGGATTTTTTTTTTTCTTTCTGATTTTAAAGGAAATGAAAACCTTTTCGTGGGCCCCCAAAACTCTGATGGGCCCGGGGCCCCGTATCCTGACTCTGCTTAGTGGTTGTGCCCACCCGGGGTCCAGGACCCCAAAAATGGCCAGGACCCCTGCGAATTTAAACGCATCTGCAAACACCGAGTCGGGCTGGCTGCCCCTGTTCCAACCCCGCGGGCGTCGCCAAGCCCCCCCCCCCCCCCACGGTGGCCCCCACTCTCCTGCTTCCCAATTTTGGGGAGACCCCCCCCACCCCCACGCCGGTCCTATTTCCTGGAAAGCACTGATCACTAATTGAGATCCTCTAATTGTGAAATTGCTTTCTCATCTGCGTCCCCCCTAGACTGTGAAAGGCCTGGCCCCGGTCCCCGTCGTGGTCCCCCGCGTGCGGCGCCCGGGGGCGCTGGGGGTGGCAGCCGGTGGAGGGCGTCGCCCGGGGCGCCGAGGGGACTTTCCCGGGACCGGCGGCGCCGTGACCTCACCTCCTCCCTCCGCCCCGGGACGGAAGGGGCGGGCGGCGCCGGGGGAGGAGCTGCGCCCGTGCGCCCCGCGCTGCGCCCCAGCCCCGCGACTGCAGCGCCGCGGCCGCCCCGGAGCCCGGTAGGTGGGGAAGGGGCCACGGCCGGCCGGGGGCCCGGGGGTGCGGGGGGCGTGACCCCAAGGCCTGCGGGGGGCCCGAGGGTGCCGGGTTCGAGGCCAGCTGCCCACTCCGGGCTCCTGGCGTCCTCGCGCCGCGTGTCCGGGGGCCCCTTAACGCTCCAGCTCCCCGCCCCGGTGGCCCAGGGCCTCGCCGACACCCTGGGTACCCACTCACACCCCAGATCCTTCCACACACACCCCGGATCCCTCCACACACACCCCGGATCCCTCCACACACCCAGGATCCCTCCACACACACCCCGATCCCTCCACACACACCCCGATCCCTCCCCAGCTCCACCCCCATTCCTCCCCTTCTTTTCTGATTTCTGCCCAATTCTCGGCCTGTCTCTGCCCAGCCCGGGTTCCTCCCGCCCCGCCGCCCCACCCCCCTTCCCCAGGCCCCCATTTTCCCAGGGGCTCCCCGCACCCTCCCCGCTGGGGCCTGGGGCTGGTTGGGTCCTGGCCGCTGGGCCACGCAGAGCCCGGGGTGCGGAGGTCCTGGCGCCCCGTTTCTTCCCTGTCCCTGTGGCCGAGCAGGAGGTTGGGGGTGGGGTGCAGGGGGCGCCACGCTGTGACCGAGGCCGGCTGGAGGTCTGGGGTGTGGGTTCCAGAGTTTGGGGGCGGGGTGGGGGGTGGGACAGGCTCCCCCAACTGCCGGAGGCCTCTGTTTCGTCCTGCGAATAAGGGGTGTTCATTCATTCTTCAGCTCGCGTTTATGGGGCACCTGCTGTATGCCAGGAGCCGCTGCTCAGTGTGTTGGCCCACAGCGCCCACAGTGTGAATGGTCAAAGGCCACATGTGTGCCACAGGCCGAGGCGGGTATCCAGCCTGCCTCCAGGAGTCCTTGGATCCAGGCATGGGAAGGACGGGCGTGCACACAGTAGGCCCTCAGTGGGTCAGGGCGGGGGCCCGGAGCCAGGCTGCCTGGTCTAAATCTCTCCCCTTTACTTTCCTCCTGCGTTAGCTGGGGCAAGTCACTCCACCTCTCTGTGCCTTCTTCTCTCATCTGTAAGCGGGCAAACAGTCCTAACTCACAGGCTTGCCAATTGCTTCGAACAGTCCCTGGCACATAGTAGGTCCCCACTAAACACTTAGTGAATAAAGCCCCTTCAGGCTCCCACACAGTTTTCAGAGACGGTCTGGCTGTGCTCGCCTGCCTTCCACGTCCCGTTGGAACATTTCCTAATTAGCCGGAAGGAGCGACTTGCGCCCCTACTGTGTGCCAGCTCTGGTGGAAGACAGGACATGTTTTGTCCTGCTGGGGAGGGAGGATTCAGAAACAGGAAGCATTTCTTGCGTGCCCACTGTGTGCCAGGCGCCACTCTGTCCGAGCCTTGATTTCTTCAGTCCCTGAGCATTTATGGAACACCTACTGTGTGCCAGTCGCTGGGGATACAGCTGTGAACAAGCCGGGTGAACATCCCTGTTTCAGGGGTGCTCACTCTGTGTGGAGCGATGCACAGTCAGCATCATTAGCAGGTCCGTCGGTCCAGTCGTGCGCCGCACAATGACGTGTCGGTCAATGCCGGACCGCATTACGGGCTGGTGGCCTGGTCAGAGGAGCGCCCTAGAGCCCAGGCGTGTGGGAGGCTGTGCCATCGAGATTCGCGTGAGTCCTGTCTGTGATGTTTGCACCGTGACCAAGTGGCCTAACGACGCCGTTCTCCGAACGCATCCCCGTCGTTAAGGGACACGGCAGTCGAGTCAGGTGGCGCGAATTTGCAAGGAGAAAAATCAGGCAGAGAGCATGTGGGCGTGGGCTGCTGCCTGAAACGGGGCGGCCAAGGTCGCTCTTGATGAGAAGGTGACTTCTGAGCTGAGACCTGAAGGAGGCGAGGGGGCCGGCGGTGTGGCCGGCGGTGTGGCTGTGTGGAGAAGGGTGTTCTGGACTGAGGGAAGAGCCAGTGCAAAGGCCCTGGGGCAGGAGCTCGCGTGTGTGTTTGAGGAACAGGGAGGCTGGAAGGAGAGGGAGCGTGGGAGGAGGGGACGGTGGGGAGGGGACCGCTTTCTGGAAGGACCGGATCGAGTGAATCATGCCCAGGGCTCCCGATCCCTCCCTCCTGGCCCCACCCCATTCCTCCCACATCCTTCCGCTCACACATTCTCCCAGGTGCCCCTGCTTCTGCTGCTCCCAGTCTCCAGATTACCCACAAACCCGCCACGCCCTCCCCTCCCACCTGCTCCAGTCGCCGTCATCGTTCACCTGAGCCGATGGCCACCTCCACCCTCGTCCACCCCCACCTCGCACCCCACGGTCTGTCCTCCCCGCGCGACCTGGAGAGGGTGCCCGGGAGCCCCTGAGTCAGGGCCTGCCCTCCTCTGCCCGCAGCCCTCCAGGGTAAAAACCGAAGTCCTCCCGGTCAGTACCCACCAGGCCCTGCATGCCCTGCCCCTGCCCCACCCGGGCCTCCTCGCTGTTCCTTCAACATAGTCCTGCCCCAGGACCTTTGCACAGGCTGCTCCCTCTGCCTGGAACACCCTTCCCCGAGACATCCGCCCGAATGGCCCCCTCACCTCCTTCAGGTCTCCAGCTCACGTGTCACGTCCTGCCAGAGGCCACCCTTGATCTCCAGGCTCCGGAACTTTCCTCCGTCGTGGCCCCACCCCACACCCTGGCTGTCTCCTGGCCAGCACTTTCCGTCCTCCACGATGGCTTCCTCTGTCGTCTATTATCGGTCGCCCCCACGGGGCCGGGCGCCCTGAGGACAGGGGTCTGCCCGTCTTGGCACCTGCAACAGCCCTGGGTATGTCCTGCCGAGCTCGTCACCCATGGCGATGGACAAATGGGGAAACTGAGGCTGAGAAACCCACAGGCCGGCCCCACCCAGGTGGATGCCTTCGCTCCCCCACCCCCCCAGGCGCCCGCTCCCCCGGGATGCCAGGCAGACTTTGTCCCTGGGGGCGGAGGGCAGAGTGGAAGCCGTGTTTCCGGAAGGCTGGGGTGGTAGCTGGGCGGAGCGGGTGGGGGACACTCGGGGACAGAGTCCGCGGAGGGGTCAGAGGTCGAGCTGGTCAGCAGGGAGGGGAGAGGAGAGACGGGGGGACATTTGAGATTTGCAGGGATGCGGGTGGGGCCACCCCGCCCATTGGGGCCTCGTTTTCCAGCCCCCACCCTGAGTCCTCCCCATGGGGTCCCCCATGTTCGGTGCCGGCAGCTTATTTGGATTCGCGATCCCCTCGCCGTCCGGGGGGCAGGTGGGAGTTTGCAGCCATTTCTTTTCCTTTTCATATTTTCTTGGTGGATAAGCTGAGCCCAGAATCACACGCGAATCCTACGGATTGAACTTGATGGGTTTTTGGGGTGCACGTGGCGTGAAGCCGGCCGTGGCGGGCAGCCCCACTCAGCCAGGCCCGGGCGCTTGATCTGCTGTGCCCTTTATGCGTTAAAAATCGGAGGGCGTGTGCCAACACACGTCTGTTTTTTTAAGTTGTATACACAGCTGTTCTCAGGAGCTGCCAGGAGGTAGAAAGAATAGTTGATCTGAGGACCATGGCTGTTGAGCGGCCGTCAGACCGTATTTCCAATACATATCTTGACACTTTCAAAATATGTGGCCAACTTGTGGTCCCACCTGAATATAAGATCGTCATCTTTTTTTTTTTTTTTTGCTGAGGAAGATTGGCCCTGAGCTAAAAATCTGTGCTGATCTTCCTCTATTTTGTATGTGGGTCACTGCCACAGCTTGGCTGCTGACGAGCGGTGTAGGTCTGCATCCGGGAACTGAACCAAAGCAGAGTGAATGGAATGTAACCACTAGGCCACAGGCTGGCCCCAAGATCATCGTCATTTTTATCCCCTTATGTGGCTGATAGTGAGGTCCCCTTGGAGACACGAGAGGCTGTATATCCGCCTTTCTCTTGTCACTCCCTTGCACCTGGATTATGGGCGGCGGCTTCCATCTCCCGCTTCTCCCCGGCACTCCCCCAGCTGCCCTCCTTTCCGGAAGATTCTTTCAATTCAAACTAGGTCCCTGGAGGCTGGAGTGTGTGGTGACTCACTTCGGGGACCATGGGCTCAGGGTGTTCCGGAGCCAGGCAGCCTGGGTTCCAGTCCCGCTGGGCCCCTGACAAGCTGTGTGACCCCAGGCTGCTCCCACAACTTCTCTGTGCCTCCATTTCCTTGTGCCAAAAAAATGCCGACGACCCCAGTGTTACCAACTGTGGCGCCGACATGGAAACCTGGGCCGCATGACGGAAATAGAACAGGACGCGAGTGGGTCCCTTAAAAGTTCCCAGCGGCCACATGGACAAAAGGAGAATCGAACATCAGGAATTAATTCTGATCCATTTTATTGATCCTAATATGTCGCCGTGGGATCCACGTCCTGCGTTCCCCCTGGGGGCATCGTCCCTGCCCCTTTTGGGCATGAATTCGTCAAAATCTGGCCTGCATTTTACCCAAACTCAACCCAGACGCCGTGTTTTCGACAAAGTGAAATTCGATGCCGCCGAAGTCGTGTTGAAGGGGGAGAAATATGTCACCGCGCGACAGCGAGCATTTCGATTTTGACGAATGAAAAATGAGTGGGACGGAAAATTCCGTTTCTCTTCGGTCGCTGCAGCCGCATCTGAAAGCGCGGGAGGCACGCGTGGCCGGGGGCCACCCGCCACACAGGGGACGGACGATGGGCTGGGGGGGCTCCAAGCTCGGAAATTTATCGTCGTCCCGGGGCCGGAGGCTGGAGTCCGCGGTCGAGGTGTCGGCAGGGCTGGCTCCTCCGAGGCCTCTCTCCGTGGCATGTGGACGGCGGCTCCCCCCTGTGTCCTCGTTGGTCGTCCCTCTGTGCGTGTCTGTGTCCCCATCTCTTCTTCTTACAAGGGAACCAGTCCTCTTGGATCAGGACCCACCCCAGTGACCTCATTTCCCCTTAATCACCTCTGTGAACACCCATCTCCAAACACCGTCACGTTCTAAGGTCCTGGGGTCAGGCTTCCGCATCAGAATTTGGAGGAAGACACAATTTACGTCCCCAAAGAATTCTCTGGGCTCAAGAGAGAGAGGCCTCTGGTTCTTAGGGTTACAGACCTTTGGCGCCAAATAGCTGCGCTGCCAGACACCAGCCCCGTGCTGCGATCTCAGTCACGCTTGGCCCTCTGAGCATGGAGAAAAGTCACGTGCCTGCCTCGCAGCCCAGGTGTCGGCCCCAAAATGAATGTTTTCAGGATATTTTGTGGCCGCTGTAGCCTGGAAGGGGCCCGTGGAAAGGGATACGTCAATGAGTGGGTGTGGCCATGTGCCGATAAAACTTTATTGACAAAAACGGCCCCCGGGCTGGACTTTGGGACTCCCTGTCCTAGGCAGTTGTCACAGTGTCGTCAGGACGGGCTCGACTGCAAACCTGAAGGAGGGTAGGGAGTGAGCCGAGGGGATCCCTGGGGCAGACTGGGTTCCAGGCAGAGGGAACAGCCTGTGCAAAGGCCCTGGGGCAGGAACGTGCCTGGTGAGTTTGAAGAATAGCAGGAAAGCCACGCTGCCACATTTCTTCCTATTTCTATTTTTTGCTGTTTTTTTTTCTCTCTGTCTTGGTCTGTTCAGATCTGTAAAAATTACTTCTCAAATGAATGAATGAATGAATGAATGAATAAGTGAGTGCTCCCTGTGCGTCCCTTCCTCCCCCTCACACCCTTCGTTTCTTTATTGGACAACAAACGCGTTTTGAGTTTTTGCTCCACGGGGGGGCCCATGGTTTTTTTGTTAAGTTCACAAATTCTCATAAAAATATTTGAATTGAAAAGAACAATTGGATCGCCAACTCGGCAAAACGTAGCAATTCCTGAAACTCAGCCTTTCTGGTTTCTCTAGCAAAAGGAGCAGCTGTGGTCCCCACCAGCTCTTCTCCTCGTGGCTGTCGGATCTAGACAGGTCCAAGGTCAGGTCCCCCCAGGCCCCGCACGACCTGCCCCGTCCCCTCCCTGCCCTCCCTCCTCCCTCTGCTCCAGCCACACGGGCCTCCTCGCTGCTCCTCCCACATGCCAGGCCCAGGCCTGCCCCAGGGCCTTTGCACTTGCTGTGTCCTCAGCCTGGAACTCTTTCCTCAGATGTCCCCATGGGTCACTCTGTCCGTTTTTAGGTCCTGTTGAAACCTGTCTTCTCCTCGAGGCCTCTCACACCCCGTTGTTGGAAACTGCCAACACCCACCCCCATTCTTGGTGCTCCCGGCCCTCCTCCCCTCCTCAGCTTCCTGTGTGGCACTTGTCACCCGCCGGCAGACTCAATTCTCCCGTTTATCTGTCGCTCATCCGTTCCCCACACCAGGAAGTCACCTCCAGTTCCTGGGTCTCTGCCGTCGCCCGCCCCCCCCAACATCCGAATTTCAGCACAACCAGGCCGCTTCCATTTTTGAAAAGGCCAGACGGCCGCCCGCCTCCCTACATCCTTCACCCCGGGGCCACGCCACTGCCGCCCCGCTCCCCGGTCCACGCAGTCAGGTCCCCCTTGCACCCCGGCCCCCGACACCAGCTCCCCCCGGGCTCCCTCTGACCTTCCTGGAATCATCCCCCTGGGCCCGGGGCCCCAGGGGACCACAGGACATCGGCTCAACACGATGTGTTAAAAACGCTGAGTCATTTGTGCCACAAACTCCGTGACGGATCAACCATGAATCAGCTCTGTGTCCAGGAGGCCTTGACGTCAGCGCCGAGCCATATTTGGGGCCAGATTCTGTTGTAGGGGGAACAGGGTGACGTGGGATGGATGGACTGAGCTGGGGAACCGGGGTGCTCCCGGAGGGCCCCCCTGCGGTGGTGGCCTCGTACCCGAGAGCTGATGATGAGATTAAGGTCACCCAGGCCAAGATGTGGGGAGAAGGCGCTCCAAGTGGCCAGAATGGCACATGCAAAGGGCCTGCGGTAGGAACCCACTTGGCATGAGAAATGGAGACGAGGAAATAGCCTCTTGGCAGCACTGTTGGGCATATAGCTGGCGCTCGGCAATGGTTAGCGCACCCTATTGATAACGCCACCTACATCAGTCAGCTATTACTCCGTAACAAATGACACTAGAATTTCGTGGCTTAAAACCACGGGAATCTGGGGCCAGGTGGATGGGGTGGTTCTGCTACGTGTCTCTCATGGGATCGTGGTCAGAGTCACCCAGAGGAAGAGTCACCAAGAAGAAAGCCGGTGTCTTTTATACTGTCACCCAGGACACCTCGTCCTTTCTGCCATATTCTGTCAATCCCGTAGGTTGACTCCGGCACGCTGTTGGAAGGAATTTGCAAAGGCTGTGAATATAGACGCAGGGTCCCTGGGGGCCATTGGGGAGCCTGGCCAGCAAACACATATTAAGTACCTACTGTCTCCAGTGATCAGGCTTAGGACTTTCTATGTTAACACAACACAATTCCCTGAAACCACCCCATAAATGGGCTTATTATTAGCCTTGTGGGCAGTGTAGACTAGTGATCAGGCAACAGCCTTGGAGCCAGGCTGCTTGGGTTCAAATCTCAGCTCTGTCCCTCACTGCTGTGTGACTTTGGCTAAGTGCCTTGACCTCTCTGTTCTCTCTCTTCATCTACACACGGGGAAAATAGGAGTGTGGATGTTTGGGTGACACCAGGCAAGTGTCGGCTGCCATCCTCTTGCAGAGGAGGACACACAGGCTTTGGGGGGTGGGGTCACGTCTTCCCAAGTCACCCTGCGAGCTGCTGGTAACTGTCTTTCCTGCTCCCTGCAGATCTGCTCCAGTGGCCCCGGGACCTGTCCGGTGAGCGGGGAGGAGGCGCCAGGCGTACAAGGCGGCGGGCCGCGTGGAACATGCCTCCCCCAGCGGGGGCTTCTCCCGCCCGAGGCCGCCACCCCCCGCGCCCATGGCCGCCGGCCCGGGCCCGTCGCTCTCCGGCGCCTTTGAGCTGCTCGGCGCTGCGGGCCACGACAAGCTCCTGTATCTGAAGCACAAGCTGAAGAGCCCACGGCCGGGCTGCCGGGGCGCCGAGCTCCTGCACGCCATGGTGCTGCTGAAGCTGGGCCAGGAGACCGAGGCCAGGATCTCCCTGGAGGCCTTGAAGGCCGACGCGGTGGCCCGGCTGGTGGCCCGCCGGTGGGCCGGCATGGCCGGCGCCGAGGACCTGGAGGAGCCCCCGGACTTGTCCTGGGCCGTCGCCCGGCTGTACCACCTGCTCAGCGAGGAGAAGCTGTGCCCGGAGCCTCTGCGGGATGTTGCCTACCTGGCAGCCCTCCGTGCTTTCAGCTCCAGAGATGACCACCGGCTCGGGGAGCTCCAGGACGAGGCCCGGGACCGGTGTGGGTGGGACATCGTTGAGGACCCCGTGGACTTCGGGCCTCTGCACTCCGATATGGGCTGCCTCCCGCCGGCCTCGGCGTCGCCCTCCGGGACCCGCAGCCTCCCGCAGCCCATCGAGGACCTGTCGGCCTGGAGCCGAGGGTGTCCCCTGAGGTCGGGCGGCAGCCCGGTGTCCCTGGCCAGCGCCTTGGAAATCAGCCAGTCGCCCACCATGCGCATCCTCAGCCTGCAGCACGGTCCCCACGGGCCCAGCAGGCTGTGTGACGAGCCCCGGGCCAGCGTGGCACCTGAGCCCGCTCCCACGGGCTGCCAGGAGCCCGAGGAGATGAGCTGGCCCCCGTCGGGGGAGCCCGCCAGCCCCCCGGTGCTGCCAAGCCACCCAGCCCTGCGGCTTCCTGAGGACACCCCGGATGTGCCTGCTGGCCTGGCCGACACCCCGAAAGCTCCAGAAACCGGCACCCATTACCCGGTGGAGTGCACGGAAGTGTCGGCGGCACCCCCGTCTCTCGCCTCGCCCTCCAGGCCCGTCAGGGACCCGACGCCACCCCAGCTTCCTGCAGAAGACGCCGCTCGGCTACCCCCCAAGCCGTGCCCACCGACTCCCTCGGCCCCCACCACGTCCCCCTCCTTCCCTCCTCCATCCACCCCTCCTTCCGCTCGCCCAGCCCCCTCCAACCCGGGTCCCGCCTCTCCGGAGGCCCAGCCGTCGGAGCAGAAGTTCTATAACTTCGTGGTCCTGCACGCGGGGGCCGACGAGCCCATCGCCCTGCGCGTCCGCGAGAGGCTGGAGGCCCTGGGCGTGCCCGACGGGGCCACCTTCTGCGAGGACTTCCAGGTGCCGGGGCGCGGGGCGCTGCGCTGCCTGCAGGACGCCATCGACCACTCGGCCTTCACCATCCTGCTGCTCACCGCCAACTTCGACTGTCGCATGAGCCTGCACCAGGTCAGCCAGGCGCTCATGAGCAGCCTCACGCGGCACGGCTGGCAGGACTGCGTGGTCCCCTTCTTGCCGCTGGAGAGCTCCCAGGCCCAGCTGAGCCCCGACACCGCCAGCCTGCTCTCCGGCCTGGTGTGGCTGGACGAGCACTCCCGGATCTTCCCCAGGAAGGTGGCCAGCACCTTTAAGCTCCAGCAGCTGCGGGCCCGCAGAGCCAACTGGAGGAGGGAACAGGACGCCCGGGCCCTGCGGGCGCAGAGCCAGCAGCTAGACGGGGAGCGGCTGCAGCTGGCGGCCTTGAATGCCGCCTACTCCACGTACTTCCAGAGCTGCTTGTCCTGGCAGGCGCAGATGGAGAAGCTGCAGGCAGCTTTTGGGAGCCACATGTCACTGGGGACTCAGGGGCCTTCTGGGGGCCAGGTGCCCGGGGGAGCCCAGCCTTTCCCAGCCTTTCCCACCTGGCCCGGCCATCAGCCGCCTCCGCGGCTGGCGGGCACCCCTCCACCACCCTTCGCGCAGCCCCCTGCCTTCCCGCAGCCCCCCACCATCATGCAGCCCCCCAACTTCCCGCAGCCCCCCACCATCATGCAGCCCCCCGCCTTCCCCCAGCCCCCCGCCTTCCCGCAGCCCCCACCTGTGCCCCCCCAGAGCCCGGGGCTGCAGCCTCTCATCATCCACCACGCGCAGATGGTGCAGCTGGGGCTCAACAACCACATGTGGAGCCAGAGGGGGACCCAGGCGCCCGAGGACAACACTCAGCAGGGGGAGTGACCAAGTGACTGGGGCCTGATGACCTCGGGCCCCCTGGGGCTGGACCTCAGAGGCCCTCTCCTCCCTTTCCGGGGGCGCAGTGCAACATGGGGTCGTCCGCCGCTTCCAGGACGTTGGCGGGAAGACCTCCATCTCTCAGGACAGAGTGCAATGACCCCGATGACTTGCTGGGGGGCCCAGATCCTCTCTCCCTGGATGGGGGGAGGGGCTGGGGGATAGGGTGACGGTGTTTTAATTATAATAAATATTTATTGACTGCTTTTCCAGCGCCGTTCTCTCCTGGGAGACCTCTGCCCGGCGACGTCTTGAGATAAAAACTTGATGACTGTTCCCAAAAAGGGAACCGGAATGGAGAAACGCGCTCCCTACCCTGATTGGCATGAGCCGGAAGTTACGCCGCTTGCTCTCACCTCATTGGTCAGGGCGTAGTCACATGGCCCCTCTCCGGCTGCAAGGGACGCTGGGAAATGTAGTCTTCGGATGAGCTGTGCGCTCGGCTAAAGTTGTTGGTTCTCATACTCGGTTCCTAGAGGTGAAGGGCAATGACACGGGGGACATTTAGCAGTTTCGGCTGCAGCCCTTTTTTTGGGGGGCGGGGGTTGGGAGGAGGATCTGCTTTGACGCCCCCACCAAGGCTGGGCTCAGGTCCCGCTGTGTGATTTTGAGCAAGCGTCCTCACCTCTCTGAGCCTCTGCTGTCTCATGGGACAAGCTGGTTTACGAGGCCGGTGTCCCAAGGGCGTCAGCGCCTCGTGCGCCATAAAGCGCAGGGACCGTGTGGGTGCTCGCGAACCGCGCGTGCTCGGCACGGCGTGGCGGGGCGGGGGGCGGCATCTGTTTCAGGGGTGCGGACCTTTGCAGAAGAAGAGAACTAAGCCTGGCTTGGCGGACACTCGCCAGTCATCGATGCTGGGGGTTCCTTTAAATATCCGAATCGATTGGAATCCTCAAAAAATGGTCCCCCGCCCCCCCGCCCAGGAGGAAGCGGCTGCCAGTTGGGCCCATTTTACAGAAGGGGCGGAGCGAGGCTCAAGGAGGTGACTCCTGGTCCCCGAAGGACGTTGTCATTGAAGACGCCCCACTTGCAAGGAGGGCGGCTCGGGGGGCGCGCGGATGCCCCATGGCCCTTCCTCCACCCGCGGCGCCCCGACCTGAGTCACCCGCGCCGCCAGCACCGCCCGCTGTGTGAGCCGCTGACTCACGCGGGCGCCCTGAAACGAAACCCGGCAGGGGAGCCCCGGGGCCGGGCTTCCGGGCGGGGAGGGGGGGCTGGGGGCGTGGCCACGGCAGGTGTCGGGTCCTCCAGGCCACCGCCAGCGGCAGAGAACCGGGGGTCCGGCCGTGGGACCCCCCCCCCCAACCATTTCTTGATCGCCTACTGTGTGCCAGGCTTGTCCCGGGCAGCGGGGGTGCAGCGGGGGGGGCGGCGGCGCACGTGGGCCCGGAGGGAGCCGCGAATGAGTCATGCGAGGAGGAAGGAAGAGCATCTCGGAAAGTGAAGGGACTTGGGAGGAACTAAACAGGGCAGGGGATGGGGGTGTCCCGGGAGGCCAGGGAGGGCCTCCTGGAGGAGGTGGCATGGCATTCGAGCCAAGACCTGGAGGAAGAGAAGGAAATGGCCGTGCTTGGGAGAGCTTGGGGCGGGGGGGTGATCTGGGTAAAGAAACAGCCCGTGCAAAGGCCCTGGGGCAGGACAGTGAGGGGGCTGGTGTGGCTGGAACAGAGGGAACAGGGCGGGGGGCAGGGAGGGGAGACCGACATGTCCCTGCGTCACCCCGGCATCTTTAAAGGACGGTCATTTTGAAAGTCCTAAGCCGGATGAGCTCATTGCATCCTCCCAATTCACAGAGGAGGAAACGGAGGCCCAGAGAGGTGAAGTCACTTATCCAAGGTCACACAGCGCCTCAGTAGGCTTCGCAGGGAGGTGGAAGGGCCAGGCGTCTCTGCTGGGTTCTAGCCCAGCCCGAGCCTGTGCGGCCTGCTCGTCTGTCGACCGATTTCTCAATTCTTTGAAGTATTTTTGTTCTTTTTGTTATCAAGCGCCCACCCCGAGGGGCCCGGGAGGGGTCCGCCTGGGTCACTGCGGTGTTTTCGGAACCCGAGCATGGGGCACGGCATGCAGCAAGCGCTCAATGAGTGAATCCTTCAGACAGATAACTATGGAGCACCTGCTGTGTGCGGGCCTGTGCCAGGCGCTGGGGACACAGACCTGTTCCCTGTCCCTGGGGAAGTTCAACGGGCAGCGAGTGGGGAGGGTGTGGATCCATCCATCCACTGAGCCAACCAGCATTTATGGAGCTCCTACTGTGTGCAGGCCCTGTGGGCACGGTGATGCCTGGTCACCCCCCTGAGGTGACCCGAGACAACCTCGTTCTGTCCCCTCAGGGTGTGTGGCCCGGCGGCAGAGACAGAGACAGTGACGGCGTGATCAAGGCTGTAGCCGGGAGGGGCAGGGGGCTGCCGGGCCCACAGGGCACCCCAGCCAGCCCGGGGGGATTAAGAGAAGCTTCTGGAAGGAGGGAGTAAGCCGAGCCCAGAGACATAAGTTGGAATGAGCCAGGGGCAAGGAACAGTGTTCCTGGAGGTGGGAACAGCATGGGCGATGGCCTGGAGGACAGGGCAACTCCAGGTGGGGCCACAATTCCCGAGTCGGGGGCTCGAGCCACAATTCCTGTGGTCCCAGTGCCCCCTGGTGGCCGCCACCTGCTCCCGGGACAGCAACCCCCGGGGCCACGTGGGACTGGGGTTTCCTGGGGAAGCCCCGCGTCCACTCTGGGCCAAACAGTGTAAAGAAAAAGAGGAGGAGAATTTTTGAAAAATTTCCCCGTCTTTAAAAGCCGTGAAACGTGCTTGGGTGACAGAGGATTTCTTTTCCGAGGTCAACAGCGGTGTCCCTGCCTGGACTGAGGGCCTTCTGACATGGTGAGAGCTTTGACAAACGTTCTCCCGTCTCTGGGCCCAGAGAGGGTAGCGCTTGGCCCAGTGTCGCACAGCACAGGCGCGGCCTCGGCTTGGCCCGGGCAGAACTGAGGCGGGCGCTGCGTTTGAATCTTGCAAATCGGCATCGCCGGCACGGTCTGCTTGTCCCGCTGCCTGGCGGGACACGGAGGAGGTGGCAGAGCCCACCCCCCTCCCCACAAGCAATGTGGCATCCCGAGGAATACGTTCCCGTGGGTCAAAATTTAAAAGGCACCCGAGTCCTCCGCGGCCCCCCAGGCCCCGCACGACCTGCCCTGTCCCCTCCCTGCCCTCCCTCCGCCTCCTCCCTCTGCTCCAGCCACATGGCCTCCTCGCTCTTCCCCCAACACGCCAGGCCCGAGCCTGCCCCAGGGCCTTTGCACGGGCTGTGCCCTCTGCTTGGAATGCTTTTCCTCCAGACACCAACGTAGCTCCCTCCGCGCCTCCTCCAGATCTTGGCTCTCACGGGGGCTTCTCGGAGCCCCCTATTTCAAATTCACTTACAGTCGCACCCACCGGGCCCTGCTCGCTTCCCGCCCGCTGGTGACCGTCCCCTCCCTCCCTTCCTTCCACATCCATTCATTCATTCCTCCGTTGAGCAGTATGTCTTGAGCGCCTACTGTATGCCGGGGATGGTTCCAGACTCGGGGGACACAGGCTTGCCTGGCGCAGACTCCGTCCTGCCCTTCCTGGGGTGCACAGCTCGGCGGTGGGGACCCCCCCCACCCCCCACCCCGGGGACAGGACGCTCCGTTATCCTTGGGGACCCAGACGGGGCTGCGATGAGCGCGCGCGCCACCAGGGGGCGCTGTGGGACCGCGGGTTCAGCCCCGGGCTGGGGAGGGACGTCCTCCCGCGAGAGCCCGGGGCGGGGGGCAGGGACCCCCGAGACAGCCGAGTTCCCGGCCAGGTCAACGCCCCGTCCCCCGCTGCCGGCCTCCGTGACAGCGACAGGGGCTTCGTTAGAAACATCCCGGTTCACCGGGTCTCCGGAACCCATTCCGTCTGCTGCTGTGCGGGACCAGGGCCCAGAGAGGCCGGCCGCTCGCCTTAGGTCACACAGCCAGCCCTCCGCATGCCCGGCCCCCCGCGCGGCCTCGGGGACGCGCGCAGACTTCCCCGTTTCCCAGAGAAGTTAAGAAAGTTGTCGTCTGCCCACGACAAGGAGCTGCCTGAGCTCTCGGGGGGGCCTGGCCCCATCTCCTGTCCTGCCCGGGGGTCCCCCTGAGACGCCCCCCCACGGGCTCTCCGTCCCCTTCTGTGCTGCCGCCTGGACGCCGGAGGCCGGCAGGCTGGGAGAGGTGCGGGGTCCCCGTCCCCATCCCTTGCTGTCACGTGGGGCCGTGTGACATCCTCCGGGGTCCCCCCACCGAGCCCCACCTGTGTCCCCCTGTCCCCCGGCCTCGGGGTGTTTGCTGCCCCTTCCCATTTCCCCTTAGACGGCTTGTCAATCAACCCTCTTCTTCTCTCCCGGAGTTCAGCGGGGGTGACGGTCGCAGGGACCCCGCGACTGGACTGAAAGCCCCTGAATGGGACGTGAAGCCCGTTGCCCACAGGAGGAAACTGAGGCAGCGGAGGGGGCGGGATGCCCCCGAGGCCACGTGCGCGGCGTCCTGACCATCCTCCCCTCCCCACCCGCAGCCCAGTGCGCATGCGCGGTCTCTGGATGAGCGCGAATCCGGACCCCCCCCCCCCCCAACGTGGGTTTCATTCCATTTTATCCCATTTTTCAAAGAACCAGCTTTCCATTTGCCCGTTTCTGGTTCACTGGGGGCCACTCTCGCTTCCACTCGCTTTGGGTTGAATTTGCGCTTTTTTCTAGCTCCCGAGGGTGAAACTTGAGATTGGGGTGGACGCGCTTTTTCCATCAGTAGAAATTCTGGAGGTTTCGGGCCCGATGGGTGTCGGTCGGTGAGCGTGATACAGTGTCGATACAGCTTAACTCACAAAACAGGAGGCTGGCGCTGGCCCCTCCTCGGCATCGCCCCAAAGAGAAAACCCAAACCGGGCTCCCCGGGGCCTCAAGGGCGCACCCGGTCAGCCTGCACCCCGGCCCTCTCCCCTGCTTACTCTGATCCGGCCACACCGGCCTCCTTGCTTTGTGAACAAGCCACGTGAGTTCATTTAGTCATTCAACAAACGCTCAGTGAGCTACTGTGCATCAGGCCTTCTGCGAGGCGCCGGGGACACAGGAGGGAAGGAGGTGGTGTAGTTGCCATTCGGAAGAAGGAACCAGGAGGTAAAGAAAAAGGTAATTATAGGGGTTAAGGTTATGAGGGTTGAGAAGGGAACCCACAGTGGGG